ACCTTTGGGTCAGTCGCCCCTGTTTTTTTTAGGAGTCTGGATTTAGTAAAGTTAAAAATTTCAACGTCAGTATAAAATTTGATCAATTGTCAAGTTAATTTAGATTTATTTTAGTGATATAAATCATTTATATTATACAATTAAATAAAATAATTATTCATATAAAAAAAATTAAATTCATCAAATGTCGATTGTCATATTATTAGAATATTTTTATTTAGAAAGCTTACATGTTTTTAATAATAGAATATTAGTTTATTATAATATATGTGATTTAATATTGTGATTATTTATACCTTATCAACTTAATTTTTTGAATATATTTTTTCTTAGTTAATCATATGAGATGAACAGTTCAAATCATTATAAATTTGATTGATTGAGTAAGTTAATCTCAATTAACTTAATAATAATTTTAATAAAAATCCTAAGACATTATCAATTGAATTAAATTGATACAAAATTTAAAATTAATAGTTAAAATGAAAAATATAAGAATCAAAATTAACACAATGGACAAATGTAAAAACTACTAACGTAATGGGGTTGGTTTTTCTGAAATTGGTCCTCTCGACTTGAGAAAATGTTTAAGCTTAGTATGCCAACTTTGGAATCGATTTTGATGATTTGAAACATTCATTATTTAGGACTCGTTGAGTAAAATATTCACATAAAAAATTAAGATAATCGGACATTGATAATTATAAGGTTTTACAAGAATGATATTATTCTTAAAATTATATTTGTTATCCATTTTTTCAAAACAAACCTATAGATGCCATATAATTCAAACCTATAGATGCCAATGTACAATTATCTTCTTTTTTATTTTTATTTTTTTTGCTTAGATAATATATTCAATGAATCTTAAAAATTGAACAATTCATAGCATTGAAATCGGTCCCAGAATAGACTTATCAAACCCAAATACTCTTTCAAATTGTCCAACTTGAAAAAAGTCAAATCCTAATATAATTTGTCCAAATAAATTTATAGAAAAATGTGAGTTAAGACTGAAAATTATTAGGTACTCTCAAAATATCATGTGTCCTTACTTTTTTACCAATTATCAATTATCATGCTTATTTATATTTCTTAGTTATCCAATCTAAAATCATAATACCTAACCATCTTTACAAATCATAATCCTGCGGAAGACGTGTACGCAATAATCGCCCGAGTTCAGACTCACAAAAGATGGGTGATGGTTGACTAGTACTAGTATTTTCACAAGCCAGGAAAATTTGAAGCGACTACCGTCAGCAACATTAATCCTCCTTGCATTTCACGTTTATTTATTTATTCACATTAGCTCAGACTCACTAAAGATGGGTGATGGTGACTTAGATGGGTGACGGTTGACTAGTTCTACTATTTCCATCGGCCAAAAGAATTTGAAGCGATTCTCAAATCTCGTTTGGATACTTCCATAAATGAGTGAGAATCCTCTCCTTGCAGCTTCTGTGCTTGCGCCCGTCCTTGCAGGCCTTCGGGTCTACTTTTAGGCCCAATTTTGATAATCCGAACCGTTTATATTTTATGATTTATTCAGTATATCATACCTGTAAAAAATCAAGTTGATCGGATATCAGAAAGTATGTGTTTGAAAAATTGAACTAAACACTATTTTTTAAAGAATTTAATAAACAGTTTTCCGAACATATGCTTTCTGATATCCGATCAACTTGATTTTTTACAGGTATGATATACTGAATAAATCATAAAATATAAACGGTTCGGATTATCAAAATTGGGCCTAAAAGTAGACCCGAAGGCCTGCAAGGACGGACGCAAGCACAAGCTTGCAAGGAGAGGCTCTTGACTCTTCCATAAATGTCAATATCTTTCTTTTTTTACTTCATTTCTAAATCTTTCATAAAATCTAATCCTATGACAAAAATATGATTACGAAATAAATGCAATAAAGAAAAATCATTCATATTTTCTGTCAATATATTTTGTCATACGTTATAAGAATATGTAAGCTATATAATAGAACATACATATAATATATATATGTTTATATGGTAAAAATTAGAATAGAAAGGCGAAAAAGTAGAACTTTTGAAATATAAAAAAAATACAACAACGAAATCAAAAAGAAAGAAATATGATAGATAGAAGATTGTATTACCGTGAAAAATAAAATTTCATGATTCTAATTTATGCAAAACTCTAGTTCATCTTATTAATTGTTCACAGTTTGTGTTTTGTTTTAGTTTAATATAGTTATATTTTGATGTAAATTTTAGAATAAAGTGTGTATGGGTGAAAAATGTAAATGATTTTTCTTTTTTATCATCATGTCGTAGTCACATTTTTATCACATGATTAAGTTCTATTAAAGATTTAAACAATTGAATAATGAAAAGGGGACATTGACACTTATATATGGATCAAAGTGAGATTTGACCAAAAACACATAGAGTTGACTGTCACAATTTATTATACAGGGATCAAAGTAGGATTTGATCAGAAGTATAGTGGGTTGATTGTCATAATTTTATGTGTAAGAACCAAAATGAGATTTAGTATAAAGTGTAAAGGTACATAATATAATTTTCCCTTTATTTTTTTATTCACATTAGTTCGGACTCACTAAAGATGGGCGATTGTGGACTAGTACTCTGCTTGGTTTTGGTTTTCAGAATTTACTTTTCAGAAAATTTTATATTTTTTCTTTTCGTATTTTTTTTTTCACTAAATTTTTTTAACATTTTAAGAAATTTTTTTTTTAAAAATTTTTAGACACACCTAACCTAAATATACTTAAAAAATATAATTTTTAAATTCACTAAATACCAAAAACATAAATTAAAAAAAATGAAAATTTAACATATTTTTCATATTTTTATGTATTTATTAATTTTTAAAAAATATTTTTTCACAAATATTTTACTTTTTAAATACATTTAAATAAGGTGTACCCAAAAAAGTAAAAAAACTTGTTTAAAATTTTAAAAATATTTGCTAAAAATAAAAAAATACAAAAAATAAAAAATTCAATTTCTAAAAAAATTAAATTTAAAAAATTAAAATCAAACATACTGGCTAATATTTCCACAAGCCAAGGGAACTTGAAGCAACAATCTGCTTTATTTATTCACATTATGCGTTTCACAATGCAGTTTTATATCTTGTCACTTGTTAGTCGTCCCTGTTTCAAAAATAAAATGTTATTAAATATGTCTAATTTAATTAATTGGGAATGACATTACATAGGTTAATTATTTAATATTATAGTAATTTATTTTGAGTTTAGTAATATTTAAATTTTAACTTATTAATTTAATTAGAGGTGTGTAATAATTTTTTATTTTTGGTTTATTAATCTAACAAGTTTCAAAATTACTAGAAGTAACTCTTGTTTTTTTTTTAAAATTTTATATTATCCAGAAAAAAAAAACTTTATTGATAAACACGTAATGACTCTCCAAACTCCAATTAAGTTGACATTAAGAAAATCAGCCTATTATTTATTAGTTTTAATTAAGAGATTGGTGAGAAACGAACAAAATAAGAAAAAAAGCAAGCCAACCCCTCGAGAGCAAGCAATATGCTGGAAAGAATCCACCAACTAATAACTCAGCCCAATCAGAGCTCATCCTTAGCGCTAGGGAATCCACATCATGTTTTCATCCGTTTATCATGAGCTAACACAAACATGCGAGGAGCTAACAGTAAGCTGCAAAGGGACCACCCACTCACAGAACCTGATTTCATTCCGGTTAGACACATTGTCATGCACAGAATAGCTCACGCCCTTTGAGTTAGACTTAGCCCATAAAGCTAAGGACCGAGAGATACTGTTGTGATTAAATTTATTTTGAGAAGTAGGTTAAAAATTAATTTTTTAAATTGTTTTTGACTTTTTTTAAAGAAAAATATATAAAAAGATAGAGAGATGATGTGATCCGAAAAAGTCAAAAAAATCAAAAAATTTGTTTTTAGCCGAGTTCCCAAAATAAGCCACAACAACGATCTATGGTATCTTGGTGGGGTTTTTTTTGAGTTTTTTTTTTTTTATAATTGAATTGTTCATATTATAGGGTTCGTTGAATAGATCATCTATGCAAAAAACCAAATTGATTGGAAATCTATAACTCTATAATGATAGCATATTTATTTTTTAAAAAATAAACAGTTAACATGATCTTGATAATTTTTTTTTAAACAATTTGAATATGATCACGAGATTGCTGATTTCTGATTAACTTAATTTTTTGTATGAATGATATATTCGACGAAACCTATAATATGAATGGTTCAAAAAATTGAAAAAAATTCAGAAAAAGCACTACAAGAATTAACACTTTTGGCAACAAAAAAATTGGTCGCTAAAAGTCTATTTTTGGTCGGCAAAAGTTATCCGCGACCAGTTTTTTTGGTCGCTACTTTGGTCGCCAATTGAGGGTCGGCAAAAGTAATTCGCGACCAAAATTTTGGTTGGTCGGCAAAAGTTGGATTTGCCGACTAAATTTTTGGTCGCTAAATATTTAATTACCGCGACTAATTCATTTTGTCGCTAAAACACTTTGGTCGCGAAAAGTGATATTTTTCCGACCAAATTTCTTAGTCGCCAATTGTCACATTTCGCGACCAAAAAGTTTGGTCGCCAATTATCACATTTAGCGACCAAAAAGTTTGGTCGGCAAAAGTGAGTTTCTGCGACCAAGAGTTGTTTTGGTCGGCAATAGATGTATTTTTTGCGACCAAAACTCTTGGTCGGCAATTGTCATTTTTTGTGAAAAAAAATATTTTTGATGTCGCGACTAATAAATTGATCACCAAAGCAGGAAAACAATACACCTGTAATTCCTAATAATGCATTCAATCCATAATAAACCTATAATTTTAAAGCATCATTCAAATTAACTGAATCATTAACATTCGACACAATACATAATTCATTAACATTCGACACAATACAACTATTCTAAGTTTTCAATTCATATTCGACACAATACATTAAGTTGCCTTGATAGCGAATCAAAAAGATCCACTAAGTTTTAATTCATTAACTATTCGACACAATACATAATTCATATTCGAAGTTTTAATCCACTAAGTTGCCTTGATAGCCAATCAAAAAGATCCTTGCCCCCTTCCGTGCCTAGCTTCGCATCCATCAAAGCAGTAGTGATGTAAGGCACCTAATAAAGAAACAGAATTGGAAAATTTATCAGAGAAGCATGATAATGGCAGCAACACTGGATTGCAAACCTGTATCTTTGCAAAAATCAATTAAATCCTGTATATCTTTGTATATCTTTGTACATCAATTAAATCCTATAAACATGCATGTATATATCTTTGTATATCTTTGTACATCAATTAAATCCTATAACCATAAACTAGGTAGATACATTTGATAAATTCTAAATTAAAGAATTCAAAATGAATCAAATCTTTGCCTATAAATATATGTATAATCTCAATGATTCAATAGAATTGTTGATGGTATGAGAATTTGAGATTGCGTTTGTGTGTGATTGGCTCAACCCTTGTGCGGGGTAAGGCACCTCTTCTCTCTCTTCTTCTTCTCTTATTCTTTGCGCACATACCCGAGTAATTATTCGCAGGTTACTATTCACAGTCCACTAAAAGTGCAGTTCTCAACACCAAAACCCTATCCTCTCACCTCCAAATCAACCCTAATCCCTTGCCCTACCTCTTTGCCTTCAATTTAACCATTGAAACCCTAAATTACCCACTGTTTAGGCCATCAAATAGACTCTGTTCTGGAAATCCAGCAAGCTGTCCTACATCACTAAGCCTAAGGATTAAGACCAAAACAGCCATAACCAATGTAAGGAATCACTCGATCCATCCCCGCCATAAAAACGATTCCCTCCAAGCTCCACCACAAGGTCAAAGCCATAGGACAAGGACAATACAAAAATAAATGATCACTATTTTCCTAACCCCCTTACACATGACACAGCATTTGGCTTTTCCTCTCCTATTTTCTTTAAAATAAAAAAAGGGTGAATTCATACATACAGTGGAAGTGTGGTATAGGTCCAAGCTCAGTCAGCCAGCTGAATTTGTGGACTTATCAACCAAGAGAACTAGATAAATCGACATGCATGTAAATCTTTTCAATTGGTATATGCATCAACTAAATTAAATACCCATTGTAAATTTGCAACATTAAAAAGCTAGTTGCAACTTTTTAAGTATATAATGTTAAAATCTAACAATAGAATTAAGCATTAGAGATGTATATTTCAAGTAGTTACAACCTCCTAAATCTAGACTACAAATACTAAACAATATTGTCTATCTATAAGACAGCGAATATGACAAGGCATAACAATTAGTGACCACTGAAAATTTTAAAAGGTAAGAATAAAGACCCAATTTGATTAGTATAAAAAATGTGTCGCTATTGAGCCTAGAGCCTACTAAAAAGTGCTAGCCTAAGGACTTTACGTGGGCCTGACTGAAGGGCCAGGGCTGGCATACAGTGAGAAGCTTTTTTGAGGCTTGATGACCTTAGGGCATTATTGGGACCTAGGCACACCTTTGACTACTATGGCCTTATTAAAATGCAAACTGCATAAAGTAACCTGTTGTTCTGTCATTCAAGTGCATACTAGAGACTCGTGAATAAATAGCTAGTTCAGAGGAACTCACACATGTATCAGAGACATATTTGAATTGAAAAGTGAAGTCTCTGCCAATGGTTAAAGTAATTGCCGAAGCTGCTGAGTTTCTTTACGAAGTGACTGAACTTCTTTCATAATCTCAGCTTGATACAATAATCTCCTCCCTGTTGCAATACTACAGGTCAATGACCATTCTATTTTAACAAAAAATGGCGCTAGCTTTAAGAAATCTGGGTGAAAGGTTAAGATGTTGAATTATCACAAAGTGTAAGTCTACCTCACAGTTCCAGGAATAAACCTAAATTTAAGCTCACAAATGTAAGTCAAGTTCACACCTAAATTTAATAGATGGAGGCACAGGAAAATTGTACAAACAATAAATTAGATAAATCCATGATGGTGATCTTACATTCGCATATGGAATAGTCCTTTGTTCTGTAGCAGATAATGTGTCCATCCTTGATAACAAGCTATTCTGCCAGTTCTTCTCTCGTTTCAGCTCCTATTTTCTTTGTTTTTGCTTGGGACATGGAAACTTGATCTTTTACATGTATATTTCTTTTTCTCCATTAATGAAACCATGTTTGAATTTTGATGGTCCAATTTGGCCAATATGTAAAAATAAAAGGTCTGAGCTTACCTTCAATTTGTAGATATGCAATCCACATTGACTGAAGAGCTCCTTGAAGTATAAGTCTGACCTGGTAACGCTCTTATCTTCTTTATCCAACACAAATTCTAGAAAACATGTGATATGTAGTTTAGCGGGTATTCATATTTTAAAACCTCCAGTACTGCCTAGTGTATAAGCAAGGCTAGGCAAAAATGAAATTGAATCAAATCCACTTTCATCTACTAAAAGAATGCTCAATGTGGTAAAATATTAATTGGCCAATAAAACTCCAAAAAGGACATGATTTGAGCAGCAATCAACCAAGAGAAGTGGAAAACTTGTTTAAATGATCCTCCTCAAGGCTGCTACTAGTAGTCATGGTAGTAGTAGCAGTAATAATAGCAATAATAACATGATAATAATTAACAAATTAGACCTTATTTTCTTAGGATCGTACACAATTTTAGAATCATTTACACTCATGATTAATAAAATTGAGTAATTTGACAATATCTAACAATTTTTAATTCGTAACAACATTGATTTTTTCTTTTTTTAATTTACATATATATATTTAGATATATTTCAGCTCATTTTTTCAAGCATTTTTTATTCAAATTCTTTTTGTCACCTTCAAAAAGGTTCCGCAACTTTTCCTAAATGTTTTTGTTTTTGTGAATGGAATGACATAGTGAGAAGTAATTCAATCCTACCTAGGAGTCTATGTGAATTTCCATATTTGCTATTCTTCTTCTTTCCATACTCGTCATCATCAGTATGTGTACTTAGCTTGGTTTTATTTAATCATTAAATTTTCGAACCTCAAGACTTAAGCATTCACAGGATACTTGGGATTTTAGTCATTGATGGCCAATCTTTTTTGAGATCCCACAAACGAGTAGTCATGATAGGTAGGAGACCTTACCTTTGCTCTCTTAAAGAATGATACAAAATCATCGTCTGCAAGATGCCCAATACACCATTGAACCCATATAACATCATACCTTCCAGCCTCTGGAGTGAATTCCTAAAACCAATCAAGATTTTAGTTTCACTTTATTTAAAAATCCATAGACAAAACATTAGTGTCATATGTCTCATCTCAAAGAATATTACAAAAATCAAGCCATTGGGCATAAAAAAAAAACATAATAAAAAAGAAATAAAAAAAATAAAAAGTTACCGGCCATGGCAGATCAACCTAATTAAAAAAAATAATAATGATTTTAACACCAGATAATCTACCATACACTAACCTAGATAAACAAGATAAGTGGCAAACTTAACATTAAAAGATTAGGCACTACAGCACTGCCATGAATAAAAACCAGATGAGGCACTACAGCAGCCCTTCCAAGCACCAAAACAGATCACGAAAACAGAACAGGCAGAGAAGGCAACCAGCCCTTTAAGCAGAGAATCCAGAACAGAACAGAACTGCCATGAAATACTACCACCCAGCAATCATACCAAACACACTGCCTTGAACTACAGCAGCCCTACATCCACTTCAAGCACCAAGATTGTTTAAGCCAACACAACAACAAAACAGATACACAGCCATGAGCAAAGCAAAACAAACCAATATGTATAGATACATATTATATGCATACATCATAGCACCATTGATATATCTTTCTCCATAATGCAAACCTTTGTCTACATGAATTGTCAAATAACTAAAAATAATTTTTTTAAGAGGCATTACAACAAACACCAATCATCTACACAACAGATACCCATTTCATCATTACTTATAAAATAAAGAAGAAGAAGAAGAAGAAGAAGCAGCAGCTAATTTCAACAAAGATGATTCATAAAATAATAGGATTAAAGAAATAATACCCAATTGCATAGTGAAGGCAAGAATAAAGCAACAACTACAATCAGAACAGAAAATTTAGTACCAATTATGTACGTACAGATTGCAAGGGTTAGGATCTTACCAAAATTATGGTGGGTGTGAAGACAAATTAAGTGGGTGTATTTAGAAGCACACAAAAATAACATACACCCATAATTAGTTACAAATTTCAATTATAAATAATCAAAATTGCTATTAGTCATGATGCTTATAAGATGATTAAAGGATCTTGTAACAGATTTTTTGGAACACATTGACTGAATAAGAACTGTGATGCTGTGCTAAATAGAGATGTCAATAATCTTGAAGAGAGAATAAGAATTTTACCTCCATATGGGAACCTAATCATTAGCTCTGTTCAGCTGCTTTCTGCATCAGTTTATAAAGGTTACATTAGAAAAAAGAGAATGACAAAGAAACTTCAAAAACAAAAGAAACAAAATTGAGATATTGTAGAAATTATTAATTACATGAGAAACATGGCAGTTGTAGAAATTATTTGATGTAAATACAATCTGGAGATATTCTATATTCTGTGTATAGTACGCACCTTTCAGCATTAGTATTAGTTCACATTATACATCAATGTAATTTCTTTATCTCTTTATAATATATATATATATATACATATATATATATATACATATATATGTGTTTTTAATTAAACTAAACAATAGGAACCATTCAATTAAACTAAACAGTGGGAACCAAGTTTAATACTTTCAGAATCACACCCCTATATCTCACTTTCAGAATCACACCCCTATACTTTCGAAGAAAGGAACTAAGAATTTTAAGTAGAACCCCTACATCTCACAAATTGAACAATCAAAGCTACATTCAGAATCTAAAAAAGGTCTACTCAACCACCATACATATAAATCAATAAAGTTCCACAATCAAAATCATCTGATTAAAAAAAATGAATACAAACCCTAGAATTTAAATTGACAATCAAACAAGAAACAAAGTGAGACCAACAATGTCAAAATTTTACACAGAAAAAATGACACTGAACAATCGAGCACTATTGCTGCAATACAAAACATATATATATATATACATAAACCCTAAAACCATCGTAAAACCCCAAATCAATGACACTGAACAACACAGTCATACAAAATCAACTCACATGTTGTCTATGTAGATGTGGCCTAGAAGATGAATCGAGTAGGGCCATTCTTATAAAGGTCAGGGGGAAAGCAAAAGAACACAAACAAAAATATGTTAGTTTTAAAAGAGTCAATTATCCCTTGTAAACATAATTAGGTCCTAGTCATAGGAAAGCACTAAAAATATACTTGAAGAGTAATGCCTATACAAACTAACAAATTTTACAAACTTTCCTTGATAGAGGAGGATCATATCATCTTTACTCACTTATTTTGGAACGGAAATGATTTGAAGCAGAAAACAAAAGGAGATTAAGGTTCTTCTTTTTCGCTAACTTATACAGAAGGGATAAAGTCGACACTGTAAAATCAAAAGCGATGAGATAGAATCCGTACTAGATATCTCCGGTTAGGGATATAGGTCTAGGAAAAGGGAGCTTTAACTAAGTGTGTTATTGTTGCAGAAAATTTAACCACAAAGGTAAGAGCGGTATTGACATGTAAATTAAAGATTCCTTTGCCAAGAAAGCAATTGTAGAGAAAAAATTAAGTAAGATGAGTGGTTGAAAAAGAATAGAAGAAAATTACATAAGCCAACCTTAGAAATCAAACCTACAAGCAAGCCAAAAAAAATAACCCATTAGATGCCTAATTCAAACTGTCGTCGAACATTCAGTCCCTTGCTTAGAACTCAATGGACCTGTCGGTATAGTAGGTCTAAAATCAATGAACAAACAGAGCAAAAACCAAGATATATATATATATATATATAGATTCAAAGAGATTCAAATAGATATCAATGACGAAACAGATCAAAAACGGCCATGGCTTCGATCACCTTTTCTTCACTTTGTTCTTGCACCTCCATCCCTAAACGCTCGCCTCTCATCTCTTCTTTTCCTCACTCGTCGGCAGTAGTCGTGGCTACAACCGTTAGTACAATCGTGGAAAATGAATGGCAAATGACCATGGCTTCGATCTCCACAGATTGTAGCCTGGATACCATCTTAGTCGGATCTTCTCGAATTCGGTGGAGCCGTAAGACTTAGGGATTTTTGGTTGAAGGGGATTTTTGGTTTTTCAGATTGGGTATTTTGGTTCAAGAGATGGGGAGGGAGGGAAGCCAAGCGGGAATGGAAAAAAGGGGGGTGGAAAATCGAGCGGGAATTTTTTTTTTTGTTTTTTTGGTAATATTTAAACAACAAAATGATTCTTTTTTTAAAAAGAAAATTATTTTTTGTTAAAATAATTTTTTTTATAGTTAATGAATTTATTTTTTTTTGATTCTTTATTTTTTTCAATTATGAAGGTTGAAAATTTATTTGTTTTATTTTTATTTTAATGAATAAAGAATTATTCTTATATTTTTACTTTGGTAGAAGTAGGGGTAGTATTTTAATGAAAAATATTTTCCATAAATTTTATAAATTGGTTTTTGTTTATTTTTAGAAAAACATAAATTACGAACGCGTTTGGTTTGAACAAAATATTTTAAAAAATTTAAAAACATAAACTAAAAAGCATGTTTGTCTAGGCCTAAAATATTTATATTTATTTTTTGTATTATTTATGACTATGGAATTATACACATTATAATTGGAAAAAAAATATTTGAAAAAAAATATATTTGAAAAGAGATGAGAGAGATAGAGAAAAGAAATGAGTAAGAGAGATGAGTGAAAGAGAGAGAAGAGAAATGAGTGAGAGACACAGAGAGTAAGAGACAGACAGAAAAAGAGACCCATTTCATTTTTTGACTTTTTCCTCTTTCAATAACAATGGGCCCAGAGAAAGAGATGAGTGTGATTGAGAGAAATGAACGATTGAGAGAGAAGAGAGATGAGTGAGAGAGAGAGAGACAGAGAGAGAAAAAAAGAGAAAGATAAACAAGATGAGCGAGAGATAGACAAAGAGAGAGAGAGAGAGAGAGAGAGAGACAAAGACAGCAAAAAGAGATGAACAAGAGATATAGAGAGAGTGAGAGGGAGAATAAAGATAAACAAGAGAGATAGAGAGAGCCGGAGAGAAAAGTGATGAGTGACAGAGAGAGAAGGATAAAAAAAGAGAGAGAAACAAGATGAGCGAGAGATAGACACAGAGAAAGAGAGATAGAGAGAGAAAGACAACAAAAAGAAATGAATAAGAGATAGAGAAAGAGACATAGAGAGAGAGATAGAGAGAGAGAAGAAAGATGAACAAGAGAGATAAAGAGCGGAGAGATATGAGAGAGCCAGAGAGAAGAGTGATGAGTGAGAGAGAGGGAAAAAATGGGGGAAAGATAGAGGGAAAAAGATAGAGAGAGATAGAGAGAAGAGAGATTTTTTATTTGGCGACCAAAACTTTTTGGTTGCCAAAGGTAAAAACAATTTTTTATTTTCTATTCGGTGACTAAATAGTTTTAGTAGCCAAAACTCAATATACGGCGACTAAAATACTTTTAGTCACTAAAAATAAGTTTTTTGGCGACCAAAATTCTAGTCGCCAAAGATAAAAAAATAATTTTTTATTTTCCATTCGGCGACTAAATTGTTTTAGTAGCCAAAACTCAATATACGGCGACTAAAATATTTTCTCGCTAAAAATAAGTTTTTTGGCAACCAAAATTTTGGTCGCGAATTCCATAACCAACTTATTTTTGGTCTTCCGTGACCAACTTATTTTTTGGTCGCCAAAATGTGACCTTCCGCGACCAAATTTATAGTTGGTCGCCAAACCATACCACTTTTTGCGACCAACTCATTTTTTGGTCGCCAAAATATGACCTTCTGCGACCAACTCATATTTGGTCGCCAAAAGATAACTTTTAGCTACCAACTTTTATATTGGTCGCGAAAAGTGGTCGCTAAAAGCGCAGATTCTTGTAGTGAAATCCCACCACACACCACAAATTCTTGTTGTGACTGTCACTTTAATCACAGCAGGATCCCAAATCCTAAAGAGACCCTCACTCTCACCAAATCTTTTAGCTTCACGAAGTCAGGTTTGACCAGTGGCCTCGTTTGAGAATAGACTTTTTTAGAAACTTTTTGACTTTTTGGCTAAAATATGATGTAAAAAAAATTAGTATGTTTTGGATGACTTTTTGATTTTTTACGAAAAGATGTGTAAAAATTAAAGAGAAAAATGAATCTTTGACTTTTTGGTATAGGTTGTTAGCTTTTTGATTTTTTTAGCGACTTTTTGGCTTGTAGGCTAAAAAGTGATGTTACCAAACGTTGTGTGAACAAGTAATTTTAGGAAGTAGGTTAAAAGTTAACTTTTTTTAACCTTTTTTTGAAAAAATATACAAAAAAGTAGAGAATTAATGTGATCAAAAAAACCAAAAAATGGCTTTTAGCCGTATTGCCAAAATTGGCCTTGTTTCCAACGGAGCACAAAACAGCAAAAGGGACAATCTTTTAGATACGCAATACTGATTTCTTGAACTTAACACCAGATCAAGACCGGCTCTAAGGTGAGGCGACCAATACAATCACCTCATGCTTCTAATTTTGAACAAAATTTAGGGCTCTAAAACTAGGAATGTGTATCATGTTGTATTGTTTTATATTATTTTATATTTTATAGAGGTATTAGAGGTTGAAGAAGTTACTATGTCCATGTCATCCTTAACATATGGTAAACTTAGAATCTTGACAAAGACTATGGAAACCATTAACAAGTGTGTCAAGTTGATAAATAAAGGCTCAGTAAGCAAAATCAGGGTGTGTGAAGAGTTATGTTTATGCCAAGAACAGCAAAGGGAAGAGAATTCGTCCAATTTCCAACTCAGTGAAGCTCCAGGTGCAAAAATGGAAGATGGGCATGAGGAAGATCATGATGACATGAGTGAATTAGAGGATGAAGTGAATGGCAATGATGATGTATCACAGGACCATAAGGAAGGGGCTGGTAGGACAAAGGATGGAAACGGCAGCAGTTCACTAGTTGTGTCAGTAGTTAATGAGACGTGCTATGAAGTGGGAGACCCAAGAGTAACTGGGACAGGTCTGGGAAAAAAGGAAGGCAGCACAGGGTTTTGATTCAGAACAATAAGAGGGGTTGTAACAGTGTTATAGGGTGTGGGCCTTCCGTGGGCTTTATGAAAAGCATAAGCAATTCGGATCTACACAGGCCCAACATTAATTTAAATGTGGTGTTGGACCAAGCCCAGTTCAAGGGATTAATTGAAGGTCTGAACCACATAAGAAGTGAATGGAAACAGGATGAAGCCTAAATCACAAAATATCAACCACCAGCCCAACTATCCATTGAAGAGATTGTAGGTCCAATGGGATCAAATAAGCAACTGAGTCAAGATGAGCCAGAAATAAAACAAAGAAGAGTGACCAATACAAACCAAGCACTGCAGAGTAGAAGCCGTAGTGAAGATCAACTGAGCAGTGAGTTGAAAAGGAAAATAAGATCGGGGCAAAAGAAGGCATAGTCAACGTATGGTTTTAGAAGAGGGTCAATTTTGAGGGCAGTAGCAGTGGCCCTCTCATCATCAGTGTCACAAACTATAGATCATAGCAAAAGAAGAAAGGACAGAGATCAACAGTATTTGCTACGTGAGGCTCAAGCTACAATCCATATTGGGAAAGTTTTGGGTGTGGATTTTGAAGGCAATGAAAGAGAGAGGTGATAGAGAAAATTATCACAATGGAAAGAAATGATAGGACTCAGGCTCCAAAGAGGGCTGAGGGAGTATGAGCTTGTATGGGCAATTTCGGAGAAGTAGGAGTAAAAATATTTGGTAATGAAAATAGTATCTTGGAATATAAGAGGGTTAGGTAGGATTAAGAAGAGAAGGAGAATAAAAGAGTTCATAAGACAGAGAAAGGTTAACATGGTTCTATTTCAAGAAAAAAAATGATTAGAAATGTCAGAGTTATTAGGCAAATCACTGTGGCCCGAAGAGTTGGTTAGCTTCATGGCAATGGATGCTGATGGAATTCCGGGAGGATTGCTTTGCGTATGGAGACCTGAGGTGTTTGATCTTGTTATAACGATCCCAGTTTGGCTTCCTTTGATTGTCGTATTCCGGACTTAGGTTCCGTGGAGTTGGTAGTTGCATATCTTGTTGTTATCCTTTAATTTTGTGTGTTTGAGTTTTAGGATGTATTGGGCGTGTTTCGAACAGGTTGGTTGAGCTTTAGTCCCATTCCTTGTTGCCCAGAATTTTGGTGGTACGCTCGAGCGGGTCTCTTTGCGCTCGAGCAGAGTTTGATTTTTGGTTATCCGCTCTAACGGGTCTTCTTGCGTTCGAGCAGGGTTTACACACTCTCAGCATTTCGTGCCTCTGCAAAACTTCTGCAGGTGTGTTTTTCACGCTCGAGCAGATTTTCTTACGCTCGAGCGGATCGTGCTCGAGCTGGTATTTTCGCGCTCGAGCGGGTAGTTCATTGTCTGTAAAAGTACTGAAAGGGGGAAATCTACGCTCGAGCGAGTGTGTTTTGCAGTTGTGTCTTGGCGCTCGAGCGGGTACCCTTCACGCTCGAGCGGGTCCAATTTTTGTGCTTGACGCTCGAGCGTCCTATTCTCTGCTTGAGCACGTCATACGTACATCAGATATCAGCTGGGTCTTTTTAGATCACTTTTCAACTTCCACTCTCTCTCTTACTTTTCCAAAAACCCATTTTTGAGAGCCTCTCTCTCTACATTTCACCTTCTCTCTAGGGATTGATCTATCTTGAGTGATCTACTCCCTTAGTGTCTTTACAAAAAGTGTAGAGTTTGGTTTGGGCTTCCTTTTGATCCGAAATTTTCTTGGTTTGGAGCACTTCGAGATTTCTCCATCATCTCCATTGAGTTTCATCTCTTGAGGCAGGGATAACTACTCATTTCTATGGTCTTTGATATAAACTATTGGTCTTTTTGATATAATGTTGAGTTGGATGATTTTGGGTGTTAGGGTTTCAAAATGTATAAAAGAGGGGTTTTGTATTTTGAGCCTATGCATGTGTATTTGAGCCTAGAGATGAGAATATTGGTGTTGTTGATAATATTTGGACCTTTGGGTCAATATTGAGCTTAAGGGGAAAAATGCCATATTTGGGTATATTTGGGTCATTAGTGTAATTAATGACATTTGTTATGGAATTATGAAATTGAGTTGGGAATAATGAAATTGGCCCATTATGAGATAGAATGGTGGAGTTGGATTTATTAATCGCTCACTTTTGAAAATGTCAATTATATATCTGTTGAGGCATTTATTATCTGTTTAGAAATAACTGCTTTGGGCTATCGGTGGAGGATAGTCTTGATTGTTGTAGACACTGCATGATGATTAGGTGAATTGAAACTAATCAAGTTGTATATTATACATGGGTGCCGAATCCTGCGGACGCAATATCCGTAAAATGGCAATTCGAAAATAATTACGCATGGGTGCCGAATCCTGCGGACGCAATATCCGTAAAATGGAAATTTTAATATCATTATACATAGGTGCCGAATCCCGCAGACGCAATTTCCGTAAAATGGCAATCCGAAAATATCTATACATGGGTGCCGAGTCCCGCGGATGAACTGTCCGTAAAATGGCCATAAGAGAACAAAAAATACATGGGTGCCGAATCCCTCGGACACAATTTCCGTAAAATGGCAATTTGTGGTATTGTTGGCATGAGATGTAGTCTCACTTAAGTTGTTTGGCCAAGTTCTAAGCCATGTTTATAAGTTGAGTTTTTGTTAAGTTAAGGGTTATGGAACTGGATTGTACTGTATGTTGGTTTATATGAATTAAACATTTATCTAGTGCTAATGTTTTAGTTATTGCTCATATTATGTTTAGCATATCTCTACTGGGCGTTGGCTCACCCTATATGGGACATCATTTTCAAGTACAGGTAGCATGCCACCTCCAAAGACGTAACTTGAGAGGCTTAGTGGCTGGGACATCTTTTGTGATTACATTTTTGTATTACATGTATATCAAGCCAATGGCTTATTTTGTGTTTCGAGTTAGTACTACCTTTTTGTAACCAAGTGTTGACTTGGAAAGTTGTAAGCCCATAGGGCATTTACTTTTGTTGTCAACATGTAATACATTTTGTAATGAATACTCTAATGGAATGTGATTATGCTTTATTTTCTTATGTCTAAGCATGTCAATATTGTATGATTTGTGGGTTTATTTTGAGGGCGTTATAGATTGACTATTGCAGTAACCAAAATTGTATCATCCTCTCAGGTAAAATGCATCAGGTAATTGAATGTGTGGTTGTAAATGTTTATGCACCTAATGATAGGAGTATGAGAAGGATTTTATGGAAAATTTTGGGAAATCTAAAGCCTAAGTTTTCCAAACCATGGTGCATTGGGGGAGATTTTAATGAAGTTGAAATAGTGGTTGAAAGAAAAGGTTGTATTAGGAGGGATGGTGGAATGAATGAGTTCAATGATTTTGTAAATACATTAGAGTTAGTGGATGTTCCAATGATTGGAAGGAAGTATAAGTGGTGCAACTCACAGGAAAGGGAGAAGTGGAGTAGATTGGATAGATTCTTAGTTAGCCCTGAATGGTTAGAATGGTTTAGTTTCAAATTGTGGGGGTTGTCTAGATCATTATATAACCACTGCCCAATATTACTAATGGAGGATGAGAGAGATTGGAGTCCTAAACCATTTAGATTCCTCAATGCTTGGGTTCTCCACCCCACATTCATGAATAAGGTAAAATTAGTTTGGGACAGTACTCAGGTGGATGGATGGGCAGGATTCAGACTAAAGGTTAAATTGAAATCCTTGAAGGAAACACTAAAAGTATGGAACAATGAAGTGTTTGGGAATGCTGAGTACAAGCTCAAAGAGGCTGAGCATGCAATACATGCATTAGACTTGGTTGCTGAAGTAAGGCCTTTGAATGATGTTGAATTATCAAGAAGAAGAGAGGTTAAATGGAAGATTAGGAAGCTGAGAAAAATGAAAGAATGGTTTGGGTGCAAAAATCCAGAGTAAACTGGGCTTTAAAAGGAGATAGGAATACTAGGTATTTCCATATCATGGCTACAAAGAGGCTGAGTAGAAACCTGATGCATGCTATCATCATCAAGTGTACTTCTTACAACAAACCTATAGAAATGAAACGGGAAATTACAAGGTATTTTGGTGAGGCATTTGCAAAAATTGGAAGTTTAGACCAACGATTGGTGGAGCTTTTAGGTCAATTGAACCTTATCAAGCTGAGTTGATGGTGAAAGAGTTTTCTGGATCAGAAATACGGGCTGCCATTAAGGAGTGTGATGGGAATAACGCCCCTAGGCCTAATGGATTTAATTTGATTTGCATCCAAAAGGGGTGGAGGATAATGAAGGATGATATTCTCAAATTCATGGCAGAATTTCATGTGAATGGGAGGTTGGTGAAGGGCCTGAGTGTTTCCTTTATATCATTAATCTCCAAGAAGGAAAACCCAACAAGTATCTAAGATTTTAGGCCAATCAGTCTCATAAATTCCATGTACAAGACCCTATCAAAAGTCTTAGCTAGCAGATTAAAACAAGTGTTACCAAGTATCATTAGCTTAACACAATCTGTATTCCTGAGTGGGAGAAGCATACTAGATAGGATATTAGGGGTTGTTTCGGGTGTCCTAAATAAGTGCACTTTTTGTCTTTTTGGACTAAAAAGTTGAAGAAAAAAATATGGTTGTTTGGGTTAACTTTTTGACTTTTTATGAAAAAATGTGTATTAAAAAATTATATAAATTAGTGTGTAGGGAAAAATTAGGATTGAGAATTGTGCAGCCATAATTTTTGACTTTTGGTGAATAATGATAACTTTTTAACTTTTTGAGTAACTTTTTGGCTTTTTGGCAACTTCCCAAACTTGGCCTTAGTAGCCAATGAAGTGGTAGACTGGTAGAAAAGATCCAAGAAAAGTGGACTAATTTTGAAACTTGATTTTGAAAAAGCGTATGATACAGTAAATTGGAGCTTCCTGTTTGATATGTTGGGAAAGTTTGGGTTTGAGACCAAGTGGGTGGAATGGATGAAGACTTGTTTAGGTTCAGCTAGAGTATCATTTCTAGTTAATGGCTCTTCATCTGAGGAAGTGTGTCCCCAAAAAGGGTTGAGGCAAGGGGATCCAATCTCACCATTTTTGTTCATTACCATAGCTGAAGGGCTAAATATTTTGTTATCAAGAGACAGAGAACTAGGACTGATAAAAGGGGTCATTATTGGCAATGAAGGATTGAAGTTATTCCATCTACAATTTGCTAATGACACAGTCTTATTTTGTGAGGCAGATTAGGTGGAAGTTTCAAATGTGAAGAGAATTTTAAGATGTTTTGAAGTAGTATCTGGACTAAAGATCAATTATCATAAGAGTGCTATCAGTGGAGTGAGAATTGATGAGGTTACGGTTGCTAATTTTGCTTCAAGATTAAATTGCATGAGTCAACAACTTCCTTTTAAGTACTTGGGTATGCCTTTAGGGGCTAATCCTAGAAGAAAGCAAATTTGGAAACCTGTAGTGGACAAGTTCAAGGCAAAATTAGCTGGATGGACAAGAAGAGTGCTCTCATTTGCAAGTAGAGTGACTCTAAGTAACTCTGTGCTCTCCAACTTGCCAGTTTATTACATGGCCTTATTTAAGATGCCTCAAGGAATAGCAAAGGAGATTGATAAGATGCTATTAGCATTCCTTTGGGGTGACATTGATCTAAAGAGGAAGTTACACTTAGTGAAGTGGAAGGAAGTAACAGTGAGCTAAAATCTTGGAGGATTGGGTATTAGGCACATTAAAACAGTAAATGATAGTCTATTGGCCAGGTGGTGGTGGAGGTTTAGGGCTGAAGATGATGCACTATGGAAGATCTTGAATTGAAGCAGGTATGAGACTGAAGGTGGGAGATGGTTTCCTTTTCATATGGTTGATTGTAATAGCTCAAGGATATAGAGTGATATCCTATTAGTAGCACATTCCAATCCTAGGCTATTGAATTTTTTTATGGAAAATATTGAAATCAAAGTTGGGAATGGAAGTAGGATTAAATTCTGGAAGGATGCTTGGCTGGACAGGTTTTGTTTGAAGGATAAATATCCAAGACTTTTTAGCATTTTTACTGATAAAGAGGTATCACTGAAAGAAATGGTGGACAAAAAAGGAAATCATGCTGAATGGATTTTCAGTTTTAGAAGATTTTTATTGGCATGGGATGATGAGGATTTAAGAATTTTGAAAGAGGAATTAGGAGCTGGACCAAGACTGAGCCTAGAAAATTTGGATAACATTAGATGGAATGCTGATAGTTCTGGTTGTTTCAGTATCAAGTTTGTTTTCAACTGGTGTGAGCTGATTCATGGATCTAGGAAAAGGTTATCTAGTTTAATTTGGAACAATGCAACAGCTCCAAAAGCACAATTCTTTGCTTGGTTGGTATGGAAAGGGAGAATAAAGACAATGGACTTCCTACATAAGATAGGGGTTGTTGACATAAGAGTGGGATTATTCTGTGCACTTTGTAGAATAGAGGAGGAGTCACTAAATCATATTATGTTACATTGTCATTTAGCGTGGAATATATGGTTTAGCATAATCAATTGGTAGGGAATGCAATAGGCAGCACCTGGTACAGTGGAAGGTCTACTTCAGTAGTGGAGTAGCTGGAAGTTTAAAAAGGGAAATTACAGATATTAAAAGCAATACCAGTAACGATTTTCTGGTCTGTTTGAAAGCACATAAATGATGTAATTTTCAATAAGGTACAACCCAATAGTGAAGAGCTGTGTGAGCTTATCAAGGTTAGGGTGGCCATGTGGTTGAAGTCAAATATGGGAGGAAGAGATTATTCAATTAATCAGTTTGTTTCAAATCTGCAACAGATCAGGAGATTTATCAAATGAGGTGTGATGGGGATATGGATGGGCACTGGTGTATAAAGCAGAAAATGTGTTGCTCTATTGCTGATCTGCTAATGTGTGTTACCCATATGTTCCTGTGAATGCTGTGAGTGATTATGTTTTAGTAGTTAAGGGATGGCCTGTGAAGTTCTGGAAGTGTTAGTTGAAGGATTGAGGATAGAGCCAAGGTCTGTGTTTGATGAGGTTTTCAGGGATGAGAGGAGTGATTGCCATTTCAGGCCACATATGATATCTGTGCTAAGGTCTAACAACATATCAGGCCTTGAAATCTGCTTAAGAGATGAGACTTGGGTTTCAGTACTACCTGAACCCAACTCTTTTTTTCATCAGTGTTGTTGATTGCTTGCAGTAGGTGAGGACCAACGGAAGATTGAAGAGTATGAGGCATAGGGAAAAATCAAAGTTGAAAGAGTTGTAGTATTCAGTGCATGTTATAGTATTTAATCTGAAGTAGATACTGTTAATTATCTTGCCTACTGCTACCAGTTGCTGATCTGTTCTGGGATGTTCTGTCTCTTTGCTGCTCTGTCTCCTAGTGAGGCATTGTTGATCTTGTGATTTTGGATTGGTGGTTGAGGTGTTATTTGGTTGTTTACTGATCTTGTGCTTTTGGTTGTTTGATTCCTTTGGGGGTGCTTAGCATATGATATGATGGGCTTTTTGGTGGCAACATAGTTGGGATGATCTAACCCATTGTGATGCTTTGTGCACCCTCCTCTCTTTATTGATGTTTTGATGTTTTTTTGTGTGCACATCTTGTACCCTTCATTGTCATCAATAAAGTTCTGTTTATTTTGATGATTAAAAAAAAAATGTTGAATTATTTTATAATTACTTCAATATTAGCTCAATCCATTTATTTTCATATTGTCGTATGGTGTTATTTTCATTCATGTAATTGATCTTTAATGTGAAAACTTTCACTTTTAATTAAAAATAACTCATAAAGTGTATGACGAGACTAAAATTTTTCGCACAAGTTATCAAATTTATTTCTACTAAATGAAATTATTCATAAAATGTTTGATTTCAACTCAATTGCATTTTTATAATTAAAAAAAACTATGCCTTATTATTATATATTTTTTACTAGATTGACTCTAAAATATGTAACAAAAAATACTTCTTAAATGAAAAAAGAAGAAGCTATTAGCCTTAAATTATTATTTTATATTTTTTTATTTAGTTAATTGGAGTTAAATAAAAGTTTAAAAAAATGTCATATCGTCTCTTAGTGAACATTAAAATATATAACTAATCATTCATATTATTGAGCCGTGTTATATTTGAAATTATGTCAAAAAATGGCCAATTCTAACTTACTAATTTTATATATTGCTCGAGTTGTGTCGAAAATTCTCATTCTTAACACCACCACCCCCCCTCCCCAAATTTTTTTTTTTTTAACTCTTATGGCATTTGGTAAGCTAAAAAAATAAAAATTCGATTCCACTAATTGAAGTTTAATTATTTATTTATTTTTTTTTGTTATCTAAATTACTTAAATAGTAAAGCTATAGAACTAAATTTCTATCATTTTCATTTTATCCACACATTTTTTTTTAAAGTAATAATATATGAAAGACTCAATTTAAAAAATGCACCTTAACCCCTAACACTGCAGGGCGCGCCCTACACCAGACCACGAGAGAAGGCGGCTCTCAATGGAACCGGCATGGCCTAAGACAAACACCACCAATTGATTACATCAGACCAGATTCTCCAAACCAAAGGATAAAACAATAGAATGCGATTCACTGATTCCTCCTCAGATTTACAGAAAAGGCACAAAGAATTCGCAGTAGTGTTTAGTACTCCAATTTCTGCAGAAAAACAGAGGTTTCATTATAAAACAATAGAAGTGACTCTTGTTAACATGACTTTTCATTACAAAAACAAAAAATAATTACAGGGGTGAGTGGGGATATAACTCTTCTTTTGGTGGGTTTCTTCCACATGGAGAATTGCAAACCTCATTTGTCTAATTAGTTTTGATTTATTACTCTGAATTATAATTCTCTCCTAATTGTACGTTGCTCTATCAAGATTCAAGACTGCTTATTAAATTATTAATCCAACCTTATCCATGTCATCAGCGGAGGAATTTTTTGAAATAATTATAAATTTTTTTTTACAATTTGACCATAAATAATTATAATTTTTTTTTAAAAAAAAATTTGATCATAATAACAAAATAAATTTTTAATTTTATCAATTTAAACAATTTTCCTTCTTTTGTTAAGTAAAATTGACCAATAAAAGTATATTAACCAACGAAGTCAATGAAAAAAATTCTCTTTTTGTCGGTTTTATTCAACAAAAAAATTAAAATTTTATATTATTATAAGGGTCAAAATTTCAATTTTTTTAATAATTATCTCAATTTTTTAATACTATAATGGAGGTTTAAAAATTATAATAACCGACCCAAGAGCTGATTTTACAACTTAAAGTAAAATAAATTGAAAGGAACTGCGAAATGACACAAACCCTTCTCAATCTGAACATCACCCTTAGCCACAAAAGTCTGATGATATTTGATGTAGCGGAATATATAGGGACTTAATATCGTTCTAGTAGACCAAAAGGACTCTCGAATCCACGAAAAAAATAGAACATTGAATCCATAAGGAAGAGAAAATATCTTAATATTATTGATTGAATGTATAAAAGTTGTCCTTGCCATGAGGTTTACATAGCTATTTATAATAAAATACACCTAATACTTGTAGGAAAAATAAATCTAAAATAAACTAGGAAACTTAAATCAATATACAAATAAAGAAACCTAAAAGAATAGGAAATTAAAATTCTAAACTATTTAAAATCCTAATCAAAATCTAATTCCAAAATAATAAAATTAAGAAACCTAATAATTCTAAAATATTTATACTAAATTACAAGAATCCTAATAAAATAATATATCAAAATATTAAAACTAAAAATATAAAAATTCTTAAAATCTTGTCCCATATCAATATCTTTTCATATATTGCTAAGAAAATTCGAACGCACAATTATGAATCCCTGCATGTTTTATTTTTATTAGCAATAACCCGTGCCTGAAAGCACGATCAACAATTTTTTGGTATCTGTTATGGAATTCAACTGTAATAAATTAATTTAAATGACAATATTATTTCAATTTATAACTTCACAGATAAGAAGCTGAAATTATTTATACACATTGAACTGAAAAAAATATTCATAAATCTTGTAACGCCCTCAAAATAAACCCATTATATATATCATTAACATGCAATATTTAAAGAAAACAATTCATTAATTCATTCATCAGAGTATTACTAAATAAAAGCATTACATGTAACATCAAATTAAATGCCCTACGGGCTAACATCTTTCCAAGCCAACACTTGGACACAAAAATGTGAGTTCTAACTCAAATACAAATAAAGCCCTAGGCTTGAATGTTTATCAAATAAAAACAAATAACTAAAGGTAGTCTTCAAAATCCAAATCCTTCCAAGCTAAGTCCTTGGAGGTAGCTTATCACCTGGACCTGAAAATGATGTTCCCATAAAGGGTGAGCCACAACCCAGTAGAAAAATACTAAACTGTGTCTAAGTTTCTCTGGTATTTATAATTTTCTCTGGCTACATCACTTTTCTCCCTTGTGTGTCTCTATCATGTTTAATTTTATCTGGTTGTGTATGTAAATTTCTCTGGCATTTTAATATTATGAATTGAAATTTTCTCTGGAATGGAAATTTCCTCAAGAATGTGTAATTTCCTCCATAATGTGTATTTTTCTCTAGTATGTTTATTTTGTTCAATTCTTGGTTTCAATGTGGTGTAATTTTCAATGGCATGTTTACATTACATGTAAAA